ATATATGGAGCAGCAATCGACGTATCTCAATAAAACGACGTGGTTCCACATATTGATAAATAGGAGTCATTTGAAGACATATTTCCATTAGTGTCTTGACGTTTTTCCGTTTCCATATCACGATATACTTGTTGAAGTATGCTCTAAGGATGAAAAAGAAGATAATGAAGTTGATCATCTAGCGATTATTATCATTTTATTCAAAATCATTTTATAGGCACTAATACGTTGCACCAAAAGACTTGACGGTGTCTTCGTTGTTGATTCCACAGAACATTGAAAAGTCTACCACTAACAAAGTAATGAACTTCATGGATGAAAGCACAAATGATTCCAAAACCTTCAATAAACTTTTTTACATATTCCGGTGACAACGTGAACCAATATTGATGGGTGTTGTCTGTCCCTGATTTTAATGATTTGGAGTGTGAACTGTTTAAGAATGATAATTTCTTGCAAGTAATGAAGGTCGGGAAATGACTATATAAACTGGGGTGAATGCTACTCGAATTACATTGTTCAGTTGTACTCAACAAGATCTCAACTATGAACGCCTTGGTAAGATTTTTTCCGACATTTCCATATATGGAGCATAATTAATCTATTGATATCAGATAAATGATAATCATTATACAGCTATTCTGTAGAATAATGAATGTAATGATTTTTTGAAATTAAATAGGAAAAGCTACATTTTCTAGGTCTCGTTCAATTATTTATGTAAATCTGTTTTTATGTGTTTTGGTTTGATGAATAATGCAGGAATGAAGTTTGAACTGTCGCAAAAATATCGACAGAATTTGTGGAGTTTCTCAAGAAGTATACTATATTCACTCTTCATTATTTATGCATCCGATATCACTGAACCTGAACAGGTTAATGGTTATCTTCTTGCTTTCATAAGTTGATTATTTTCTCTTATTTCATATGAAGTACTTTCATTAGATTTGAAAAAATCTATCTTTCCAATATTTCCAATCTCAACTTATTGGCGAATAGATATTAAACTAACTTCAGAAGGTTTTAGGAAAACAATTGTAATTAAATATTATTTCACACATCAGATCAGTTTCAACTCCGAAATCATCTAATTACTGAGAGATAAGCTACTATATGATTTTGCTAATATTCGATATGGATTGCTACTTTTCTTGTTACTTTCATGAAGGCTAATGGAGAATTTTCTGGACCAAATACTTTTTTATTACCTATGGTATTACTATGATCGATTGGAAATAAAACTACCATAAACTTAGTTGAGTACATTACAGTAGCTTCATAAGGCAATCAACCCCTCAAGGTAATTGTCCATTTGTACAGTAGTATTTGAGTGTCAATCATAATAATATTTCCACGTGAGTATAGAGTGTCTCTAATTTATAATGATTTTGGAAACAATTGGATAATAATGGAATCTAAGATATACACATGTTGTTAGGAAAGAAAGTTTTCAGCATCCAAAGAAAAGCAGGAAGCAATTAATTTAAAAATCAACCCTATACAAAGATATGTAGATCCTGTAAAGAAGTAACTTTCAGACACAAACTGGAAGAAAAACCTCTCGAAACAGCTATTTTCATAGAAATATTGAATTACACGAAACAAAAAAAACTTTCGAATCGAATACTTTCATCTAACGCTGGATTATACAAAAAAAACTTTTTTCTATTCCGTTTCTAATCAAGTATTCAAAATATTCGTAATGGAAACGAATCAGATATCATTTACTGGATTCCTACAGAATATAATCATTGGAGGAAGTAAAATTTCACTTACGGAGTAAGAGAATGAATGAAACAGTTGAACTTTTATTGATTTTTCTCCGCTCAGAATCGATCATAAAATGTGATTTCTCTTGATGTAGCATGCTAGTATAAATGTCACAAATTGTATTCCATACATATGTCACGTTAGCAAAATTTTGATGAACTAGAAATAACTTTTGTTGGCTATGAATTTCTTTTATTTTTCCATCCCCAAAGAGCAGTTTTATCTTAATTAGTGATACCAAACAATGATTAAACTTTGAGGTTCAAAATGTTAATTTGGTATATTTCTTGTCAAGAAAAGTCAGAAGAAGTCGAGGAAAGACAAGATGAAACAAGAGAATACCTTCTCTCTGAAAAAAAAAAGACAAAATCTTTGTTCCTAGAGAAAAGCAAACCGATTTAATAATTACATGTACTTTCAAACCAGATGATTTTTATCATCCAACATGTTCCAAGATAATTCTATTTTGTTGTTTTTTCATGATCTGTCTGTCGGTGCAAAAAAACTTATTTTTTTTGGTAACCAGTTGTCGCCCCCTACGAACTTCAACCTTCAAAAGACGAAACTTGTGCGAGCTACGGATTAACGAGGTTTGAAATTATCACTTTGATTCATGAAATAGCCTTTTTGTCTCTCAAGAAATACAATAAATGAAATTAATGTATATCAATAACTTCAAATAACGAGCAGAAACAAATATACAATGTGAACAAAATAAGTAGGACCAACATGGGAAAATCGGAAACCGTGAGAGGTACAAATTCAGTTGAATTGGGAAAAATTGACTATTTTAGAGGTTATAAAAATAAAGTTTTGAAATTCACTACGATGTACTGATGATACATAAAAAATGTTAAATAACCTCTGAAATGGGTAACTGTTTCCTTATTTAACAGACTTTGTATCTCTCACACTTTCCCACGCTTGCTGTCCTCATCTTGCACACAAGGTATAACAAAATATAGCTTCTCCATTGATTCCATATCTTTCCATTATCCAGATTATTTCGAAATAATCGCAACATTTGAATATAATTGTTTTTGATATTTAAGAATGATTGTTATTTTTATGACATACTTCCATAAATATTTACCTTGCATTCCAAAAATTGTCAATTATTATCAGTTCCTCGCAGCAGCAAAGCAAATTGAATCGACTGAATCACAAATCATTCGTCACTCACTGAATAAATTCAAAGGTAACTTTCAATATCAAACACGTACATCATAAAAATATTCAGAATGTTTTCCAGGAGATAATCTGAAGTTATCACAAATATTTTGAACTGACATTTCCGCTTATTATTTATGTTTGTCTCTTCATTGTAACTAACTTGTTATCAATTCTTTTAATCCATCAACTGCAACTTCTACGAACGATTTAGAGAACAATTATTGTTTTAATATATAGTGTAGTTCAATATTTCTTTAATGAAATATGCATTTACCAAAATATATTCTAGTAAAATCACACGACAGAAATAAATTTAATCTAAGCGAAACATATCATTGGTATCAATTAGTATTCAGTGAATTAGTAGAATTCCGTGCTAGAAATCGCCCATTGAAAGATGAAACATCGTTAATCCTTAGCTTTTTTCGAGAAAAACACACAAGCACTACAGAAAAATCCTTAAGGCTCTCTAAGAGTGGTATCTATGCCAAAGTAGTGATTCACGTTTTATTTGAATCGCTGGAGATTGGATACATTTGGAAAAATGTTATCACGAAATTCATTCCACATAAACACAGTTCTCCAAATGAAAGAGTTCTTGAACAGTGGAGTTCGAGGTATACTGAATTGAACCTCAAAACAATGAGCAGTCACAGTCCATCGCGTATTTCTGATATGTACCGCTCTTGGTGGCATCAAATGTGCCAAGTCACGTCAACACCTCCCGTGAAAGTATCTATAAAAGTTTCACTTTTGAGGGCTGTCGCTCCTAAGGAAGTAACAGCTAACTGATGGAAAAACACATTTTAACAATCAAATTTCTCGGAGAGGATACATCTATAATTTTTTTCATTACATTTGATACACACTTTGAGATAAAATATCCTCAGGCAATTGGCAGAGAAAAATTTGTGCCCTATCTCAAAGTTTCATCAACGTTATTTTCATTCACAACTTTACGAAATTACTATTTTGTTATTTTTCTGCCCTTCTTATCAATATTGATTGTGTAGTTGATTATAGGGCTGAAGTATATTAGTATATAAAGAGGATATGAGAAAAAAACTATGAGCACACCAAAGCACATAAGAAAAACTGGATTCGGAATATTCTCAATCCGTAATTGTCCCATTTCATATTCTTCTAAAATATTAGGGAAAAAAGATATCCTATTCGATATTCGATTTTGAAGCTTGGCTTTGCAACAACCTCTCGAAATCTCAAGTTTCATATTGAATGAAATGACTTTTGTTAATTTCAAACAGAATTTTGATTCATAATGTTTTGTAGATCCTTGCTTTCTTCGCCACCTTGGCAGTAGCAACCGCCGCTCCTTCTGGTTGGGGCTTGGGTTGGGGAGGACATGGAGTCCTTGCTGGACCAGCAGCTCTTGGAGCTGTAGTAGCAGGCCCTGTAGCCCATGGAGCAGCTGTAGTGGGACCAGTGGTTCCTGGAGCGGCTGTTGTAGGACCCCATGCTGGTGGTGCTGCCGTAGTAGGACCCGTTCAAGGTGCATCCTCTATTGTAGGACCTTCTGCTGGCCCCTCTGCTGTTGTTGGACCCGTTAACCACGGTGCTGCTGTTGTTGGACCCACCAACCATGGAGCTGTGATCACTCCCGCTGTAGCTGCTCCTGCTGTTGTTGCTGGTCCAGCTGTTGGTCTCGGTAAGTATAATTTCCATACTCTTTCCATATCATCAGACGGAAATTCTGCTCACATAATATATAGCAAAAATAAAAACCATGATTTTTGTAGAATTTTATTAGTTATTATCATGTTCCTACGTAATTTCATTGCAACTGTCACCAGATATATCTTCTAGTCAATATGTTCAGTATAGCAGACAAGTTCATATAATTTTCGTTAATGTCTAATGAGTCTAATGGTACGATATAAATCATTATTTTTAATGATGTATTTAAATACTCAACGAAAGTTTCCTTTTTTTATGTGAACCTTTTATCAGCCTCAAACCTATCCAATTATTTGGTTTCTATTCCTAATGCCAACGAAGCTGCTATCGTATTTTTTCTCAACAGTGTATATTTTGGAAACAGAATATTCATTTTTCTTAGCTTTGCAATTTTGTTTCAATAAAATTCAATAAACGGAAACAATAGACGGAAACAATTTCCATCGAATTAAACTGAAAATGGTTTTTCATTCTTAGGCGAGACATTCTTTTGAAACCAGTGCAATTTCTCAACAACCCAACGATGGTAATACAGAAGTTTTTTATTTGTGAATGGGACCGATTGCTCCGATGTTTTACAAAACTTGTTTTCACCCGCAACGCACAACGAAGTTCACAGTTACAACTGTTGAAATTGGAAGAGAGGAAGAACCTGAACTGTTTACTTCGAAAGATTCATTTACTCATATATTCGAAATTATGAAGTAGATACAAATCAGGAATTGAAATCTCACGAATAGATACCTACCAATGTTCTATACTAACAACATTACACTGGATTGAAAAAATGTGTGAAATGAAAGTTTTTCTGTATGTTCGTCATGATTTTCCATGTCTCATGAGATAGTTCCATACGATTACTATGAAGAGTGTCGTTTTTATCTGTTTGATGAGATTGACATAATATATCTTGTTTGAATTTTTAATGTCGTATCTTTCATTGAGTGCCTTTTTATAATCCGTCTAATGGAATACTTGAATATAAAAAACATTAACAAAAGATCATATATTGAAAATCTAACTGAGGAATATTTTATTCTGATAAAACTCATGTACATCATGCAGGCATTCCTGAGAAAAACTTTCATTTAATGTATTAATTCAGTCGTCTATTTTTGGTGGTAGGAAAAGATGGTTTCTATTCATAAGATTCCAATACCTAATTTATGCTCAATATATATTTTAAACGATATAACGAAATCAAAATGCTAATGTTGCTAATTCATATCCTTCATTTTTTCCAGTTTATACACTTATAACTGTTGTTATCGATTCATTTGTTCGTTTAGTACCTGAAGATGATAATTCATTTCGTGAAACGTCGACAAATTAAACTTCGAGTTCTCTTCAGAAATCGATTTCATTTCATACTGAAGGAGCTTCTGTATTCTATTGACAGATACTCCAGGAGCTGAGTACTTCTTCAAATAACTTTTCTTCTTTTCTGATCCTATAATTTATTTTCCAGGTGTTGGTGCTCTCGGTCTTGGTGCCGGTGTTTGGGGAGGACATGGTGGATGGGCTGCAGGTCATGGTGGATGGGGAGGTCATTGGTAAACACTGAACAGCAATATTGTCGACTTGTAAATATTTCAGTAATATTTTAGTCTGCATAGAACCTATAGAGCATTGACTCTAAGGGTTTTTCTTACTACAAGTATTGCTGAAAATTTTTACATTTTTGGAACATAACGAAACTCGCCTCAGATTTATTGTAAATTCTGTATAGTCTGTTATTTATTTGCAATATTTGCTCAATAAAGAGTCTATGTATTCTCATATGTGTTTGTGAATCAGTATTAGTATATTGTCACATTGAAGTTGGAAAAAATCGCAGCATTGGAACATGAATACATGTATATTAACACCATTCTGCTGAAGGTTTCTAGGTTTTAATTTCTAAACTTGATGGTGATAAATTCCTTACTGGAAAAACATCATCTGTTCTACAAGATTGAAAAAATAAAAGACAAGGAATTGCAGTTAACAGATTGCTAGAATATTTTCTGTTTCTTTCACAAATAACACAAGGTTTCTTCAAATTCCGTATTTCCAAGTGAATACGATCATTTTAAAATGATTCTCTGTTGAAACAAAAAAATGTGTATATGAATAAAAATAGGAAGTTTCTATCAAATAACGCTGTGAAGTCAGTTGAAGTTTCGAAATGAAATTGAATATTACAAGTTCAATTTTTTTGACAGAAAATTACTAGCAAGCATCAGTATTTAGTGCCAAGCGCAGTGATTCCCCTAAAAAAAGATGAGTTCTCAGATTATTACTCAATGAATGGATAGAATGCTTTTTGGCTTTCTACTCCTACATTTTTATACAAAAAAAATGGAAAACGAAGCAATTAAGTTCAACATAAACTATGTAGATCATGTATAAATGTTAATTTCAGATACAAACTGGAAGAAATCTCTCCAAAATAACTACTTCCACAAAAAATTTTAAATGAACGAAAAAACTTTCATATGAACATTGAATTACATAAAAATTACTTTAACCTATTCACTTTTTACTCCAAACAATTGTTATTTAATTGAATCAACTATCATTCATAGGAAGGCTACACAATATAATATGAAAAAGTTACGATATAAAATTTTACTTACATGAAACACTATCATCCTCGAAAGAACTTTTCTTTTCGTATATCAATGTTCATGTGAAATTAGTTGTTTCGGGAGGGCTTCTTTCTTACAGTTTGTATCTGAAAGTAACTTTCTATGCATTATCTACACATGTTTAGAAAGAAAGTATTTCAAATCTAATTGTTTTCTTCTTTCCTTCGGAGGTTTCCGATATGGCGGAATTTGAAGTTTCGAAATTAGACTGTCTTATTACGTCATCAGCAACGTTTGAGACAAAATCACAAGATGATACTGAAGAGTCAAATATACTAATGTTATGATGACAGAACGGTTACTTGATTCAATCCCAGCCATATGAATCTTGATTAAATTGAGAGGGCTACATTTTTCAGGAGATATTTTAAACATTTTGACTTTCTACTTATCTATTTTTTTACACAAAAATGTAGAAATTTCCGAAGAGTGGAAAAAAGCGATAAAGTTTCGTGAGGCTTTTTCTTTCAGATTGTATCTGAGAGTAATTTCTATACATCTTTGAGTGAAGAGTTAATTTCTAATCCAATTGCTTTATTCCTTCTTTCAGAAGTTTCCTACATTTTTAATGAAAATAGAGAACCAGAAACTATAGCCCTTTCAATTATTCAATTTCATTAATACCTCAATAAAAAATATGCATGGGGCATGAATATATCTGGAAACTATATGGATTTTTTTACTGTCTACTAAAAAGAATCACTTTTTATCGATATTTAAACATCATATCAAAACTATTTTTTTTTGAGCTCATTCCTCTTTTAAGATCATTCTGAAAGATGAAGGATGAACCTCTGAAAGGTAATTGAGGAAGAAGCAAATTTTTGAGCGAAGGTAGAGGTGACAAAAAAGATGTTGTCCTTCAAGTAATAATAATAATAATGTCTAACCATAGCGGATATGACTTTCCACAAACGAGTAGTATAAAGTTTTGAGATATTTTAGAGGTAGGAGTTCTTTAAGTTCCCTAAATTTGAATAGAATGGTCCTCAATTTATTGACGGTATATTTAATATGGAGCTCCCATTTCAAATTGGTGTCTAGAATTATTCCTATGTATTTTATTTTCTTTCCAGGAAAGATGTGGAATGGTGTATCAGATTTTATTGTTGATTGATCGAACGGGAGTGAATCCAGAAGGAAATATGCGATTCTGTTCAAGGAAACTTCAATAGCAAAAGAAGAAAAACAAATGTATTACACAAAGAGAAAAATAATAAAGGCCTTTTTGAAACCCTCCACTGTTATTTCAAAGTACCCTTCAATGCTACCCTTGCGGTTTGTAGTAAAAGTCGGATAAATCCATATACATTATCTGAAGTATTCACATTTCTAGAACGAATACGGAAGTACACGTTTCATGAAACTCAAGAATTCAAGACGAAAATTTACAAAAGGCGTGCTCAAAAATAGTAGAGTCTAGTTTCATATTTGTAATGCAAAAGTATGGAATTCATAGCTGTGATTGTTGATAAATGCGAGTATACTTTGAATTCAGTCAAAATACTTTTAGTTGGTGAAATTATTAATTCAATAAAATGTTTTCTGTACACTTATTCAATTAAGACATGTGATCTGTTTCTTCAGCAACTACTGATATTAATATATACCTCACTAAAAGACCACAATGCAGTATAGCATGGTTAGGAATCAAAATGTACAAATTTCAACCCATTCCTATTCTGGGAATAAATAAGCTACCTCTCAACACCAACGAATGCAATGTATAAATGACGAATAGCAGAATATGGGAGGGTCTTTTCTAGAACGAAAATATTTCAAGATCATTTTTCGAAGCTATCTGAAGTTTTACGAACAGAAATTTTAAAATGACATACGAATTTTCTGATCGATAGTGCATTAAATGCTCAGTCTTTCCTCTATGCCAAAATTTTATTTTACATGGAATTTAAAACAGTGTAGTTTATTTCACATAGGATTCAAAACAGAGTAGTTTATAAACGATCTTTGAAATCAAATTCCATAATTACACCGATAGTGAGAGATCTTATTGTTTGAATTGTTATTGAGTTGCATCTCTAAAGGATCATCCATTATAGTACTTTCCCTACTACCATACTTCTCTCAGAGGTCGAACACGGTCCATGAAAGTATATAGAGAAGGACAAAATTTAACGAACATTTATGTTATAAACCCATCAGTCCAGGTATGTTGGGGGGTCAATATCTAATGTACTTTTCACGTTCTAAATCAATCAGCCTTCTAGTTTGTTTTGGGATCAATATCTACCATCCTCCGGGTATATTGGGGATCAATATCTAACGTACTTTCCATGAACGAAATCCACTAACCTTCAGGGTGAGTTGGGGGTTCAATAACTAAAGTACTTCTCATGTTCTGAACCCATCATCTTCCAGATCTGTTGAGGGCCAATAATTAGAACAGCTTCCATGTTCCAAACCCACCAGCTTCTAGATATGTTGAGGGATCAATATCTGAAGAGATGAGTACAACTTTCTGGTCCGAAGTTTCTATTTTGCCAAAATGATTGCAATTTGACACCCAATTACTCAATGTGTTTTAACATTATCACGTCGGGGTTTGAAGCATTTACTTTCTCAGAAAAAATGTCACGCGTTACATGCTATCTACTACTCTGCGGGAAGCGGTTTGAATTGGTTTCAAATCGTAGTTAATTATATTAATTTCAAAAAGAATATCTCAGAAAGTTTAGCCCATAGAGACACCGTTCTCCAAATGGATGAGTTCCCAAAAAGTGTAGTTTGAGTGTGTTGAGTTGACTTCGAAGCGATAGGTATGGACAGAAATCACCTGACCATGGTGTGGTACGATCAGTAATAGTCGTGACCCAACTAACGAGGGTGACACTACCACCATGACGAGGCAAGATATCATCGTATCGCAGAAGGAGGATCCAGTCTTGAAAACTGTACGAGAATAGATTGACAAAGTAGACAGGCATAAAAGGCAAGAGATCTCCAAGCACGGCCAACAAAAAAGAGTTACTGGCTCCAATGGGACTCCATATGAATTCGAGATGACCTACTCACTCGAAAATGGAAAAGCCTGCATAGAAAAACCCACAAGTTCCAGATAACCATTCCAAAGACGTGTAACCCGAAAATACTCGAAAAGCTACACGATGATCGTCCTGGACGGCATTTTGGAGTGAATAGAACTCTATCGAGAGTGCGTGAGAGGTACTATCGAGTCAATTGCCGTCGAGACGTGGAAGAGTGGTGTAAGCGCTGTGACCTGTGCTCTTCAAGGAAAGGTCCAAAGACAAGACAAAGAGGGAGGTTGAAGCAAAACCTCAGTGGGTACACTTTCGAAAGAATTGCAGTTGACATTCTGGGACCACTTCCTATGACTACATCCGGTAACAAGTACCTAATGGTTGTGAGGAACTATTTCTTCAAATGGCCTTACCCATCCAACAGGCTAAAACGATGGTAGAAGACCTGTTGCAGAACGTAGTTGCCAGACACGGAGTACCCCAAGAAATACACTCGGATCAGGGCCGCAACTTCGAATCGGATTTATGAAACGAAATAATAACTCTGTTGGGAATGAAGAAATGCTCTTCACCCACAGTCCGATGGAATGGTCGAGAGGCATAAACGCACCATGAAGAACTACCTTTCGATGTTTGTCTCCGGAAACCAAAGAAAATGGGATAAATTGGTTCCTCTTTTTCTGTTGGCATACAGGAGCTCCTAACATGACGCGACAGGTTACACACCATACATGTTGTTAACTGGTCAAGAACTAAAACTTTCGATAGATGTATTGTGTGGCAGCCCATCTGATGATTTTCAAGAGGTACCTATTTCAGAGTATGTGAATGACCTGAAAGAGAAACTGGTAATTGTACACAAATTTTCCAGATCCAAAGTAAAGCTTTCCAGCGACAGGATTAGATTTGACAAAAAGTCGCTGCCGGTTAACATGCATACATACATACATACATACAAATATACCTACATATATGTAAAATATATATGTAGCAAGTAGATATAAGTAATTGAAGTAATTCCCAGGTGAATCAACTGGTTTGATTAAATGAATTCATGGTCAGCTTTTTTGATCGAATATCCGTATGTTTGGTTCCTCGAGACGAAAGCTTTGTCCTTTTCAACTGGTTCAAAATTAGCTCAATCGGAAGT